ATCCCAGCACATTGCTGCTTCCTTTTTTTTTAAAGACATTGTTTGACTATCTGAAACACACACACACAAAGTTGGGATAATCATGATACATGACATCTAGATATCTCACACATTTTCTCAAATCACCACACCTTTAGTCGCGTACCGCCATTCCCCATATTTTTGGGGCGATCGAATCCCCATTTGCGCGGTCCGATGGCCTTTCCCTCTCCTGTTCGATCTGTTTCAGCTCTTCGAATCGAACGTGCTCCATGCCTGGTCCAGAAACATGTCAAAAACCATTAAACAAATCCTGGGAAATGACACTTTCCGACAAATTATGATACACAAAATGATCCTTCATGATACTGTACAAGTAGGATCTGCTTATCATAACATATCATAGCTCGTTTCGTGTTTTTGTAAATCACAACTCCCCCGACCAAACAGATCTCCTGGATATCCTGGCGAACATGACCATTCTGTGTCGACAAACTGGGCAGATTTCAGCAGGTTTTTGCAGGAAAACTGGCACAACTTGCTGAAGATCCCAACGTTGTCTCTCTCGCTCTTCTTCGCGACGGCGTTCTTCCTGCTGAAACACTGAATCCACTCATCTAAGATGCTAAAGGGCATCTGCCCTGTCCTCTTCACAATAGAACACAGTAAAAGAAAGATAAAGAAAGTATATTTCACCAGCATGAAACTCAACAAATAAACCAACAGTCATACTTCACAGAACTTAGTAAAAGCGATCGTATTTCATCAGCAAGGACATACTCAACTCATGGGATTCCTTGACCAACCTGCCCCCCTCAAGACGTGTCCGTTTTTCCACAAATAGGGATGTCATTATTGCTTTCATATGCTTTAATAACACTATTGCTCACCAGAATGCAAACAAGTCAGTTTGGAATGGACGTGCATTGACCCAAAGCTATCCACACACCCGACGTATATATGGTATACTGTGTTCATCACTTCTCTCAGTGCCAGCATCATTGTCGAATGACTGAGATGGATTGAGATGGTAGATTCGCTCACAGAAGTCCTCTTCTTGTTGCCGCCGCTTTCGTGCTTTGATTTCGAGCTTTCTCTGACGCCTATCGTGTCACACTGCGGGCTCTTGGAATAGAAGCATCATACTTCTTAGACTAGACTTTATGTTTCTGGAAAGGGCATCAAATTTACTTAAACAACTGAAAAAGGAAAGCACAACAAAACTGAAAAAACATATAGATGAGACATGAGCAAGGGCATGGATACTCATGAACACATCATGCAAATGTTAGCAGCGTATTTTGAGCTATTTTGATAGGTGTCTCGGGGATGAGCTGCACATAGCTGCACTGCTTCTGAGATCATTGTCCCACAGAAGTTCCAACTGATCCACCTGCATAATAGTCAAATTCAAAAGCATTTCTTTTAGCTTGGTGTGCTGCAAGCTCTGTTTGTGAAACCAACAACTTGTGCAACTCAGTCTCACATGCAGAAGTGGAGGCCCCAACTTGGGTCGGTACATGTGCTGTTTTCCTTCCTCCCCGATCTGATTCTATGGAAGTACCAAACAACAGCACAGGTGTTCATTATTTTTCCCTACTAACCAAATTAAATATTAGGACAAGGGATCACAGATCTGGTCACGCTCAGCAGTGTGGTGTGCGACTTTGTGGGACTTTTTCTTATGAATCCTTGTGCTTGATACCCAAATGAGCCATGAAGTTTACTCATATAATTGCTATCACAATCCTCAATAAGCCGGATAGGTTTTACAAGTCCAGTCGGCTCAGTTCCCAACCTCTTTTCTTCAGCCTCTTGCTGCTCTCGTAGTCTCCTTGGCTGCCATCAATATGGAGGGATGAGGGTTTTTCTCAGGCAGAGCAGGGATGACCCTGCATGATCTGGCTATGGTTCAAAACCGTGGATAAATGATGATAGATGTTCATCCCCCTAAAATGTGGTAGGATATTGGTATGATAATAGGTGTCAAGCCATAGCCAGCCGTGTCTAGCTCACTACGGTATCTCTACCCCGTTATCTCTACTCCTGTTGCTTCTAGAGCAAGTCACATGCAGGTCACTGAAAGAGCGGCTCAGATTTTATGTCGCAACACAAGATGTCTTTGGCTTGAATTCGCATGTCCACCCTTGCATCCCTGACTAAAACACCTAAAACCAACACAACAAACAGTTGGAGATGCAGATGAGGCTGTGATTCATTTTGCTGGCCACATACAGTCGGCACTTCAAGGCAGCCATTTGTCAGGTTGCAGAGGTACCCCATGGAAATGAGACATTGCCACATTGGCTACTGCGGCTAAGATGGTACTGAAAAAACGGTGCCTCCACTTCATTCATGCCATTGTTGATCGTCATTTTCCCCTCCAAATTGTACAAATGATGTTCCCCTCTCCCATTTTTGGGACAAACTCATGTTACAAACCCAAAATAAACCCCTCAGAATGCCCCTTGGTAACGTCCAAACCAGGGATCTTTTCTTCTTCCACAGCTCTTCGGGCAAACTCATCTTCTGCGCGTTTTTGTCGCCACCTAGCAGGGCACTCGCCCGCCATCTGTGGAGTTAGGGGGAATCCCAGTGGCATCTTCCACCCAGTGGGGCATGCCACGTTCAGACATTCCAAATCAACAAGTGAGCGTGGCATGGAACAAGAATGTTGTTGTTATAGACCATCATCTTGATGATTATAGACCATTCGTCAATGTTATATAATCCCAGTTGATGGTCTATAATCAACAAGATGTCTGTGGCTCATGCCAACATGATCAAAAAAGACGTTGCCAATTGTTGCCACACATTTTCGCTCTCGGCGGCTCCAACTCAACCTTTGGTCACGAGCACCTCACTAGAGCTGATCGAAGAAATGCTTCAAACAACCAAGGTACGAATCCATCCAGTCGACTGACCCAACTAAGGCTTATGGACAGGGAGATGGACACTATTTCACGGTCCAAATGCAATATATGGGTGCCATAACGGAATCATCACGACAAGCGTGGTCCACTTAAAGAAAGACCGGGAACGGGTTTTACGTGTTTTACATAGTTTGGGGATTGTGTATCTTCGGTTCTTACAAGTCTTACCCTTACATATCTAAAAAAAAAATAAGGTCCCAGTCCGATGAGCTCCAGCCTGCCATTGCCTCCTATGAGGTCAATCCGGTCCAGGTGTGAGAAGTCCTGCTGTTGCTCAGAGTAAGACTGCACCTATACAATGGAGTCTATATCTACATATGCAGAATGACTTATGCATCGGAATTTCAATCTATTTCAATCTAATAATTATATATAATTATATTGTTTACAACATGTTACAACTCTATGCTTCTACCATGAATTATATCTGTACTTGTTTATTTATGTTGAACATATGGATGCTGTTTCCTGTGCAAGAGAGTTCATTCCAGGTGTACAAACCTATTCAGTTTCCAGATTCCTCAGGCCATCTGCGCTTCTGCACACTTGGCCAACCAGCTCCCCATGAGTTGCGATATCATCAAACACGAATCACCATTGACACGTTAGTGTTCGTTAATGTACAGTAAGTCAGTCTTGAAGAAGTATTGAACAATTAAACATCGAATCCCAGTGGCATGAGAGTTGCCGCCAAGTAGCTGGTTCGCTACTCTTTCGTTCCAGCACAATGCGCTTGCGTCTGGTCGCAGCCAGCAGGCAGCACGAAATGTGTATTTTGTTGAGATTTCAAATGGCATTTCTGGCTGGGGGGGTGTATTATGCACATCTCTCTAGACTTTTGCCAGATTTACGGGGTTACAAATCCTCACAAAAATCGAAGGGCCCATAGGGACCCATATTTCATTGGCTGCTTCGAAACGCAGTGGAAGCTCCAGTCTTCAGAAGTGATGTCTAGTCTGTGCGCTTCCATCTGTAAGTCTATCGTGCGATTACTATGACCTCTAACCACGTGGAAGTTGAAGGGCTGTTCCTACAACTCTTTTGGGGCCGCAAATACAGCATGCTCCAGAATTGCCACACGCACTGAGCAGCAGCAATTTCCAATCGTACTACAAGCATGTAGAAGATGCATCTAGCTTGGGGACTCACTCCATGAACGAGTTCTACACACAGAGCATGTCCCACTTTGATGTCCCCAGCTTTATCCCAGCCGAATTCTGAGGCCATCACCCTAAGCTGTACTGCCGCAAGTCTCAGCAAACATGTCTTCTGAGCTGGGAAATTTGGTTGGAAACAGGTGAAGAATGGTGAAGATAGCACTGATTCCACTGATCTTCACTGGTGGATAGTGGTGGGATCTCAAATGAGGCCCGAACTATGCGCAGCAACGATGCAAGGGCTACTCCTGAGAGGCATCATGCAGGTCCCGAAATATCCCAGACTTCATCACTTCATCATACTTCTCAAGAAGTTGAGATGCCATCTCTTCTGTTTCTTTGTTGGCAAAATGTCGATGCTCCAGTACTAACTTCTGGAGCCAGCAAGACGAGGCACTCTGCCATCTGCACTTTGAAAACTCTCCAGATTTAGTTTAATAATGTTTAATATAATTGAAAAATGAAACATCAGCCAGAATTCAATCAGATATCATGCCTTACCCTATCCTACGATCCCAAAACCCATCCGGTTTCCAAAGCTCCTGGAATGCATCGGGTACTCCAACCCCAGCGGCATCGCCCCACGCCACCAGCGACTTCTCGGGTGACTTTCGGGTGAGCTGGGCGAGCCAATGGCTGGGTGACACAATGGTGGCACATTTGCTGAAACCTTTGCTGGGTGAATGGTTGATAATGGATATAATGGTTGTTGGTTTTGGGATGTTTTGGGATGTTTTGGGGAGTAAACGGAGTAAACACGCAGGCAAAGTTATCAAAGTTAACTTCATCATAGATGATTTGGCGAGTAAATCATGGTTCCAAAAGCTGTCCACACATGATCCATGATGATCCAGTGATCCTGATTCACCTTTGATCCTTGGATCATAGGGGTCATCTTGTCCCTGGTATCTCCGCTTCCTGCAGCGCATCTTTTTCAGGATGATCCTGGCCGACTGCCCAGGCCATAAAACATGAGCCCCATGGCCACAGCCAGGATGGCAGGCACCATGGCTGGCCGAAAGCTGGCGGCTGAAAAGTTCAACAAGGACAGTGCCAGGTCTTGCAATGGCAGTTGAAGCGCCGCCAGCAAGAAGTAAGTGGTAGCTGAAGCCACCTGCATAAAATGAGGACACCATGCCACGAAAAAAAAGGGCCTTGGATGAATGGTATAGTCAGGCCCAAAGCACCTGGTGATTATATGATTGTTACAGTTGGAATAAGCATCGGCCTCCAGTTTTGAACCCAGAAGCAAGCAAACTACAATATCAATGACCTCGAGGCTTCTCAAGTCAACCATTGCCATTTCTGATGGATTTACGATCCGATTCTTTATGGTCCCCTTCAGCCGCCTGCAAAACTTGAAACTCCGTCAGGGTGTACAGCATCCCTGGCACCGCAAAAAGGAGCACTGATCTCCAGGCCCCAGCACATGCTCCTTGACCTTCAGTCAGACAGCTGAATCCGCCAGCATAGTCCTGCAGAACAACGGCAGCTTCGCCTTTCCAAAAGAAAGAGACAGTCAGTGCTGCCAGGAAGTTGCATGGCAGGCCTAAGAGTTGCGTATACAAAGTGGCTCTCAGTGGCCAAGTGATGCCCTTCTGATTTTCCGCCCAACTCTCTGCTGCGACGTTGGCTGCAGCTTGAGGGATGCGGGAGAGGAGGAAGATGGCCACCCATGCCAGGCTGACATGTTGCAGTCCAGAAACCCATAAACTTGGCAGAAACCCTGCCATGACCTTGGTCTGCGCCAAAGAAATCGATCCCGTCTATCCCTACCAAATGATGAAACCAAAGAAAATTCAGGAAAATCTCCCTTCCACACAGGGCAACCATGGGAAGCCCCAACAATCCATCATCATAATGGCTGGGCATAATGGCTGGAGCAGGTCAAACCTGCGTTGAAAGGCCATCTCAACTTTTGACCCCCTTGTCGGTTGGTAAATGTACATACACATGCGTACATATATTAACATACATAATGCACATATGTGCGTTGGAGCCTTTTTACATGTCTGTCTGTACGTGTATAAATGTATGTATATATATATATATATGATACACATTATATATATGTATATATATATACATACGGTGTATATATATATATATACATATGTGTATGTATACGTAATTACAATAATTATATGTACATATATATATATATATATTATAATATATATATATACACGTATATTTTATAAACATCCATCAAACTTTTTCAGCCATGGTGACCCCAGCAACGACCATCATTGCTCCAACCAACTGGACCTTGGTGTATCTTGTCCGCAACAACTGCCAGGACAGGACCAGGGAAAGGGGCACCACCGCTTGCTGAAGGATAGGCGGCAAGTCATCATTTCCCACTTGGTGGTGAAGCTCAAGGAGTCAAGGAAACACCATGGTTTTTCGAAGTGACGGCCTGTGAAACGGATTCACCTGGAATCTTCAGGTGTTGGAACAGAATGGTTAGATGTGATATCCGCAAATCACCTAAGCTCAACCTGACCGTTAAACCTATTAGTCTTCTGATCCCGGTGGCTTGTAGCTCCCTGCAGTTTCTGGTTTGCCAATCACAACAGCACTTGATTTCCGCCAGGGTGCTCTGGGAATGCTCAAAATCTCCAGGGAATTTTGAAACGCCAGCAATGCACTCAGCCAAGCCCAAGACTGCCATGGGACGACTGTGGCCGCGGTTTCCACTTCCACATCTTTGGGCAACCACAGAAGCCAGAGTCCCGCCAGCAGCGCTCCAATGGCTGTATTAAGTTGTGCAGAGAAAAAGGGATACCTTTGGTTTGGATGATTTGGTGGAAGTAACGAAAAACTTGCTGCGAGGAAGGGTGATGGAAGATGATGGAAACACATAAATTCTTCACACATTTTCAAGCCAAGGAGCTGGTGCAAATGATGCAACTCAGAGTAGTAAAGGCATGTGCTTACAACAGATACGCAGCAATTCACAGCACAAACAAGGATGCTGCTCTGGCTTGCCGAACGCAAGGAAGAAGCGCATGGCTCACAATTCATGTCAAGAGAGGATCCTCTTCCATAATGCGATTCTGGGTATGGGTCAAAGTGGATGTCCCATGATCAGATGTTAAAGGTCTGAAAGTAAACTATCTAATCCATTCTAATCCTCTCTTGACATACGAGTAGGAAGCAGAAGGTTCTTTTTGTTTACTTTCTGAATGGCATTGCCAGTCATTCATTCGGTGTAGCAATGCACCCACGATTCATCATCAATGCCTTGGTTCGCCAACCACTTCGGAAATTGGGAACCAGCTGAATGATGAACCAGCACGGTGTGGCATTGTAAGTTAAACATGTGGGATGGGCAACATTGATGACTGTTGTGTGAATCTTCTCGATCATGCCGATCATGCCTTCCTGCATCTAGTAAAGCGCAGCTTGAAATCGGTGCGTCCAGGGAGCCAATGTTATGAATGAAACTTTGGTGGGGTAGGTGGAGAACTTCAACAACATCAACATTTTGTCCTTGACAATAGTCTATGCTCAGTTGCCATATTTTCATCATAGGACTGTCTGTCTGTTGCCGCTTGCGACGGAATCAGGCGGCACATGTAATTCAACAAGTATCGGGGCTGCAGGGTCATGTACTCATCAGGTTTGTAATGCATCCCTTGGGTCCTTTCTCTGGGCCCAGGATGGCCAGGGTCTAATTTGGAACAGCGACAGAAAAGCCTTCCTTTTTGGTCTGACGAATGGTCTGAGTTCATTGGCAAAGGCCTCATTCAGCTCTTTTGGTTTGACCACAATTCAATCACTCAAAAAACCAATCAAACAACAAACAACCTGACAAACCGAACAGCTGCAAGCGGAATTGGCCTTTCTTGATTTCTTGCCATGACATATAATCTGTGTTCGTCTACTTCGCTCAGTATGTTGATTCGAAAGCATAAACCAAAAGGACTGATAGTGGATTAGAATTAGAATCACATCTTTGTACAGCTTTCGCCAAGGACACTCAAAGCTCGGCTTCTCTGGCATGGAATGACACAGAAGATCTGTCGATGCGTTAGGAGACTTACTGTAGAGGACACTTGTCTTCATGATGTTTTGGGAACCATAGAATCTTTATGTGAAAGCCAAGTGCTGTGAAGCAAATGCCCCACGACATCTTCATCATTCTTCATCAATCCTTGGCTGAATCCCATCGTTATCATATTGAGATCACACTTCCGGTCCCTCCTCCGTTTCTTTACGAGACCTTATTCGCCAAAATATTTCCTCCATAACTGTGCGGGCACATGCGGGCACGTTCCGGCCATCATCTACTCAAGAATGGTGAGTGGGAAGGATGCGTACATTGTACATTATTTCAGCATATTTCAGCAATGAATTCGGCAGTCTCCACAGCCTGCGTTGATGGTTTCGAACCAAGCCCATACAGGTAGACCAAGATTTCCAAGACTGAGTTGCGTCCAGCTTCACTACCCCCATACAAGGATTGTATAACCAGACAAATTGGTAACCCAGGGTCAGTGGCCTATGCTTCTTGACCAGTTTGCCTTACTGGCCTTACTCTTCTCAGGCTTGTTCATGTCCCTGACGGCAGTTCATTTTTGCAGCCTCTTTCGCAAAGCGGGTGCTTCGTCAAGCTATTTGGCAGCCTTCACCTTGGTCCTCCTTCTTGTCCTGATGCATGACGCCAAGTTCAAGTGCCAAACACCAAGGTTGTCCACAGAATGTGTACGTACCTGTAAAACATGGTAAACATGTAGACATCAAGAGTTGGAAGATAGCTCTTCGATTTGTTTGGCAAACATATACTGGGGGATACTAATGGTATAATCCTCCTCTCAATTCTGGGAATGCTCAGAATATGAGCGGCAAAAGCCAGAGGGTGCCAGCAGCCAGCAAAAAGACCTGCACCTTCTTATCTTTCTTATCTTTCTTGTTCTTATCCTTGTTCTTCTTGGGCTTCTGCTCCTCCTCTCCACGGGCCATGGAACTGTTCATGGTAATCAGTCTACCTGAACGTAACATCGTTCTCTTGGGTCACCAGCACTCCAGCCCTTCACAGTTGCAAAGGAAAACTATGCCGTATCATGACATCTAACATCCAGACCTTTGGTAGACCTAGCATGATTTAACAACTCTGCTTGGGGTCCTCCGCTACTGGTTCTTTTTGCAAAGCTTCAGGTGACCTGGGTTGAAAATTCAGCACCTGGATCCACCTGGCACCATGCCAAGTGATCCAGCTGTTTGGCGAAATACCACAACTTTGGTGAAACAAAACACGCATCAAAATTCCTCAAACCATCAGGCAAACATGCCAGCAGAAGGTATATGAAGGTCTGTGCAGCAACATGTCAGGTTTGTGCCTTCCAATTCTGTCTGAATTTCACTGGGTTCTTCATCCGGTGAAAAAAAAAACAGGTTCCTCAGTGGAAAACATTCACACATTTCCCTCAGCCCTTACATTGACGCCCATCTAGATCCAACACATTTTTACCTTCAATTGGGTGAAAGCGCACATCTGCCGATCATTAGGCCCTTTGCATGATACCCACCCATCATGGACCTGCTGAAACCCTTGACGAGTCACCCATCTGCATAAGTTTCCGCAACCAAGGCAACTGGAGGATGCAACCACCCCGGTCCATTGCCTGTCCCATAGCATTGTGCAGCATGGTTGTGATGTCAAAATTCCGACACCTTTTGATATTGAAGTGACTTTCACATTACCTTCAATCATGCTCCTGCAGGATCTTCACTGCTGTTCTCCGGGTGCTGCCCCAAAAAACACAGTGAAAGTATGAAAATCGTTTCACAACTGAATGACAGTGGTTGACACAGGTCAACCATCCTTCCCATGAGATGAGCACCACTCAAACACATGTAGATCAGGGATTCTGTAGATAATTATACATTTAGATCAAATGGACTCAAGTGGCACGACTGACCCACTCCAACATCTTGGCCTTGCTGAATTTCCTGCTCAGCTTGTGGGTCCACCTTCCATGGAACAAAGACATAAAAAAATGAAGTGTAAATGAGACGCATTGTCTTGCGAGATGACTACAGATTGGACATGAGGCCATCAATTGGACGTCACCAGTTGCCATCTTGGAAGCTGACTTCTGACAGAAATTGCCCGATCAATCTCTGCATATCTGTGAAATGTCCAACATTCCGGATCGCAAAAGATAGCCATTGATCTGGAAAATCAAAGGCATTTATTGCCTTCTTTATCCTTCTTTTAGCCTACTAGTAAAACTCAACAGGGTTGCCGCCACATCCCATCTTCAGCGCTTCCAACCATCAAGACCTCTTTTTGTCCCGGCTTGGTTGATTTCGGCGATCCCTTCGGAAGAAGTGCCTGGTGCATCGAACAGTGGAGCTTGCGATATCTTGGATGGTCGCACCTGTTCAACGGACCCAAAGCCTAAGCAAGGAAAGTTGATATGTCGTATCAATGATGCTTGATGTGTGAGAGGGGCACATCATGGTATATCCTTCCTGTGCACATGGACAGAGATCAAGGCGTGTCCACTTCCCGGGAAATCCCTGGCCAGGACTCATCATGTTGCAGCTGGCTTGAGGCTGGCAACTAGCAGTTTTTCCCAAGCTTTCTAAAGATTTGCACTCCCAACATGAGATCTCAGTAGAAAAGGTCATACGATTGGATCTACCTGTTTGCAAACTCTTCCCAGTATCTTTGCCTCAAGTGGCATCGAAACGGGAGGACGCCCGCTGAAATGTGCCTCAGCGAACTCAAGGGAATGGGTGGAGGCAGCATCCAGAGAGCAAGGTCTTTGCATTGACAAATTGGTTTACAGGAACAAGTTCAATTTCACATTTTTCTCGGACATCACAATCTTATCTTCCCGTAACGTTTTCATGATTTACAAGGTCTGTCATCAACCAGCAAAGTTTGATCCAAGCGACAGAAAACTGCCTCAAGCGACTTGGCAAATTGATTCGCGCAACATTTTAGCCAGCATAAAAACCACCCATGTAAGAGTAAGGAGGTGTGGAACTGTCCAGTGGGGAGGAGTATAAATGGCCCACTGTACATAATTAGTGATACTGATGATATAAAGAATGTACCCCTTGTAGTCTGTTAAAGTGCTTTCTTCGAGTGACCCCCACCCTGACACATTATTTGGACATCGTTTCTGACACACCATCTGCAAGTCTATATTGGATATATATATATATTCTGACATTCTATCTGGACGAGGAGGAGAAAGCAACTCTGGCAAAATCTAGAGACCCTCACCTGGCAGGTGGGGAAAAACATTTTTTGTGGTTCAGTTCATTTTCACCCGCATTCCAAACCATGGACAAACCCGCTGGTGCCTGGAAACTCCTGTGGCTTTGCAGCTGCGCGCCTTCGCATGCGAATCTCCCCCGTTTCAAGATGATGTTCCCCATATTTTCCCACTGCAAAAGGATGCAAAAGGTAGAAACATGTAGAAACGAAGTGTTTTTCCACACTAAAGTCACTAAAGATGGGGGGATCCATGGATTTTCCATGGATTTTCCGTTACCAGCTTGGATTCCTGAAGGGTACTCAGTTGATCCACAGCTACTCTAATCTTCTCTGGAGTGACTTGTGAAACTTGGGGGCTCCCATCAAATGAGCGAAGTTATGATGTCAAACCTTTTTTAGCCTGATTGAGAGCTGGCCACATACAATCACAATTTATTTCAATGAACACCGGCTGCACACTTTGAGTGCTGCCGGGACACGACACATATCAAGGGCAACCGACGACTTGAGGAGGGGAACGCGAAAGGGAGGCCAAGATGGAGAGTGAACAGGCTGGGCATGTGGGACTACCTGTTGATGATGATGATGATGATGATGGAATGGCACTCTTCGGGATCACACAATTTGGTTAGAAGCGCGGGCAATGCAGCCATGGTTTTGAGCAGAGCTGACCAAGGATCCGCTCAAGGTGTTTGTCTCGTCCCACGGCCACATGGTTTTCCCAGACACTATTATTGGTTAAACATGGCAAAAAAGAGACAAGCATGAGAATCGCGCAACCCATCACAAACGCTACGTAGAAAAAAAACGGTGGCTCCCAACAGAATAATGCAAACCAAAAGACCAACGATTATGGATAGTGCAAGGAATATTCCAAAGCAAAAGCAAGAAAACACATAGATTCCGCAAACGAAAAGTCCCAAACATGTCAGAAACATGCAACAAGATAAAGATTCCAAACGTCCGTTTGGGGCAAGGGATTGAGGGGGTTGAGCCCACGGTGGAAGGGGGGTGTAAAATGAAAGGCAATGTTGTGAACATTCACAGTACAACTCAAGGTAGCCACCCTGGACCTGAAATGACCTGAAGACTTGACACCAAAGCTCCTGCTGTGGAGATCTTCACAAGAAATTCACAACAATACATTTGTATACATTTGTCAAGTGGACGGTTGATTCTTGCCAGTATGTAACCACCCCATCAACAAAGAGCTAAGTCTCTTGGGATAATCTTGGGATCATGTTCTATCCACTTTCACAATGATAGGAATGGAAACTCAAACGCGTTTGCACTAGTCACTAGTCAGATAGTCACAGTATGTCACAGCTCCAGGGCGGCCGTCTCCACCTCAACTCGCCCACAGAATGCAACTCCTGGTGCCATGAGCAGATTCTTGGGCGGAGCATCAGGGTCCATTGCGACTGAGGGCATCATTTGCAGGACATAGCAGCAGGTTCCAATCCTGGCTTTATGATGCTTTATGAAGCTTCTAGACTTTTGGAGGGGACAAAGTGACAAAGCCAAAGATAGATAGATTCATGATGATTCATGAACTTAACTAACTTAACAGTACCTGTTCCATCCTGTTCCATTCTTCAACGATGTGAAGGCACTACTCACTACTCGGCTTCGGATGGTCATTGAGCCTCCCAGAGTCGCTGGTCCAGATCATTCCAGGCCATACCCGCTGCAAGCATCTCCTTGGGACCCAACAAAAAATTGGAGGCTTTCTGGATGGTTTCCTTGATCAGTTATGGATCACCTATGGATCACCTATGGATCATTTATGGATAAACTATGGATCATTTATGGATAAACCATGGATCATTTATTATGGATGGTTTCTTGGCCATTGATGGATGGTTGATGGATGCTTCATGGCACTTTATGGTATGGATTTCACCTGAAACTGGCCTTGCTGTCAATTTGGTCCGGAGAGATTCATAGCATGTCCCAACAAAAACCCAGGGACCTGAACAAATCACCTATGGATACCTATGGGACCATGGATCTACTTTGCCAGTCCAAGCCTGTAAAGTGCAAAACCCTGTGAGCATCGGATACAGTCATCTAAAATCATGTAAAATCCTCTCCAACACCGAAGAAAATCAGATCTCGTGGACTGGATCAATGATTCCCCATACCTAGCCTAAGCTTCCCTGCTGGCTCAAGGATTGGTCGTAATGCAGCCGCACTTGGCGAAGGCCTCAAAGGGATCCACATTTCTGAGCTCATCCGGTGTTAATTGTGCAAAGATCTTGCAATGTTATTTGGTGGACAACGACCAGCTACAAAAGTCCACACACAATGCTCCCCAACATTTATGAGATTATATGATCATTGTAAATTACATATGTATATTCGCAAAAACATATTGATGTGATTTGAGTATGCATACACACACAATGTGAAGGTTTCCTGGGGGTATCATCCATTTTTGGGATGTTCCATTAACCATCATTAACCATCCAGCTATATCCAGCTGGGGTATCCAGCTGGGGTACCCCTTTTTGCAACCCGCCTTGGCACAAAATCATCGCTCTCCTCCAGGCGCAGCCCCCGTGGTTTGCCCGGCAACATTGAGGATGCCCTGCTGTTGAACATGAGAAATTGCAGAAAATACGCAGTGATACGCAGTGTGTTCTGGTTGAGGATTCAGAGTTTTCAGGGTTTTGGGGTTTAGGGTTTTAGGGTTCGTCGTCTGGTAAATACCAAAACACTGGCCCTGCGCAGGTTTTTGAGCATGTCGAAGAATAATATTTGAACACCATTCTAACCTTGCGGTCAAACCATAGGGTCTTGCCGTAATACTAGATCATATCATAATTATTATTGTAATTCTATAGATCATATGAGATATTATGAGATCATATAAGATCATCTTGGATCACATTGGATCATCTAAAGGATCTATATTTTCATGTTGGGGTGTAGAGGGAATTTCATGAGTGATTTTTTTTCTCCTCCTTTCGCAGCAAGTGCTTGGCGTGAGGCAACATGGACTTCTGGGCTCGAGGTGGTTCCTCTGCTGGTTGAGGACTTCCCATGAACCTTTGCGGCTTGGTGGCTTGGAAAAATTACGCAATTGGCGAATCTCACCGGGTAAACCAATCGGTGTGCAAAAAACTGGCCAAATTCTAGGAAAACCAATCTGCCTGAAACCACTTGTTATTTCTGAGTAAACTGCTACCTACCATTACAGTAGAACTTCAAAACCCAATGAGGAAGTGGTTAGAAGTCAGAATGCGGAAGAACTTCAGCTGAAGTATGAGTACCGCAACCACGGTTCCAACCACGGTGTTCCAACCAAGATACCAGTTCATCCAAGTTTGATCTGGTTGAAGTGGCAGGTCCTGCCAATCAACATCCCAATCATCCCATATTCTGTGCGATGGCGGAAAAGGTCGCCTGTCTGCAGAAGCACCAGTTTCGAAGCATCAACTTTCCAAGTTTTCCAAAGTTTCATGAAGCTCTAACAACTGGCATCCACTGGCATCCACTGGCATCCACTGCTTTCAAACTGGAGGTGAAGGTGTGACTGGAAGCAAGCGGCCTTTGATGGATCCCGGAAGTCATCGCCCGGATCCTGGCAGGAAGCTGCCCATCTCCCCCAAAAATGGATCAAACTTCAACTCTGTTGTGATTGGTTGATATTTGCCCTCAGTAGACCACAACGAAATCTTGTCTTCCACAGCTTCCACAGAAAATCCCTGCCTTTGAGGGCGGCTGAGGGCTCAAAGTAGAAACAGTCGTGTGGTCCCTGGCATCGTGTGCTGCCCCCTGAAAGATCAGCAGGGGCGAACAGAAGACATCTTTGAACCATTGAAGTCATCCAAATCTATAAGATGCTATGCCATAGCTATGAGATGCTAAAAGATGCTGCAGCATATTGCCATATTCCTTCGGTGACTTCTGGCGGTTCATAATTGGCAGGGACCTTGACCGCCTGTGTAAATGGACACAGGATGCAGGGAGCCAACCAAAATAATAGCATGTATATGTAAAGACATGTTCAAACACCATTTCTGCTTGGTTGCATGATCCTACATGATCTACCCATTATTGCTTTGTTCAATATTGTTGGCATCCGGAAACTTCTCACAGTGTTTTTAGCGCATGATTCCAAGACGCACCAGTGACTCAGTGCGCGATTCAACCACATCGAAATTAGCCAACTCCTCAACTCATGGCAGGGTAGTTGGGGGAGGCTAATGGTGCCAGTTTGACATGGGCTTTGCCATGCTCATCGTCTCGTGGATGTCCCTCTCCTTTGACAGAGAAGCGGAGGAAGTAGCCGTACCAAGAACAGGATATTGGCTCATGGACAGTGGCCTTTAACGATTTTGTATATATAAACTATAGTTTTAGAATATTGGCGAATACTGTACTAGTATATTATATTGTTGGTACATCAGAAGCCATAATCTATGTATACATCTTATACATTTTCTTTTGCAAAAACCCATGCGTTTTGCGCCAAACATAGGCCATGGCGTCATGGATTTTCTAGTTTCCTTATTTGGACCTGTCAGAACCTGTTCTTGAAGACAGGGACTGCTAGGTTTGGTGGTCCCTATCCTATCCCATTCGTCAAAATATGCCAAATCAATGCCCATCTCAATCAGTCGAGCAGTGTTTTAATCAGGATTCCCATAATTACAATAATCCCCAATATATATATATAGGATAGTATATATATATATAGGATAGTATATATATATTGGATAGTATGTATATATAATTATATATAATCCCATGTAATCCCATATACTGTAAATCCCCGAACCAATCATCCACCAACAGGGCCATCTGAGCCCATCTGCATCCGCCGTTTTTAAAAAAACATCCTGTGTTCGCCAGCCATAGAACGGATCCACAGCCCACATCCTGCGCAAAAACGTGGGCCACAAACCACTCAGGACCAACGTATGAAAATAAGGTGGTAAAAATAACTCCAATAACTTAGGGTTTATGGATGTTTATGGTAGGTATCTATAGTTACCAATTATGGAAATAGGGAGGGAAACTGATGGTATCTGATGGTTTTGATTTGAGAACAAATAATAAATGGAAAGTTGCGAGCTGAATTGCTGAGTGAAAGTCATTGTACTGATTTGAGAAAAACCATAGAAAACCGATGAAAACCGCATTTGGAATATTCCCAATTTTTGCCACAAAACAGCGATAACCCGCACAAAGCAGGATTCTCTAGGTACACTTGTGCAACTGCGTCAAGATGTGTATTTGAGAGGTTAGGACACTGTTGCCACGCCGCCCGTCCCACATGAGAGGATCTTTGCAACTCCTGCGATCAAAGTCAGGTAGTTCGCTTGGGTGCTCGTTCATGACCTCTCAGTAACAAAATTGACAATGAAATGCAATGGGTAAAAAAAAAGTGAGGTTCTTGGCAGGGACAGTGGTGCACTAAAATCGCACTTCCAGATTTCCACCAAGGTCAGGCTGTGATGTCATCATGTTCCAGTGCCGGTCATCCCGAGGACTGCCTCTGAAGAAACATAACCAAGACATTCCACACCATCCAACTCTGCCTGTGGTTCGTGCTGCCCCTGAGCATCTCTATACCTACATCTACAAAAAAAAAAAAATATATTATATGTGTGTAAAGAATTACGTGTATATATATATATACATATATATATATATATGAATATACGCGTATACATATTTGTTTCCGTTTTTGTTTTTGACTTTTTGTCTCTCTCTCTCTCTATGTATTTGTATATGTACATAGTATGTATTGATATCAAGACCTATATGATATGTTTATCTACAGTATGTAATAATTGCACACTCAAACACGCAACTACAACTATGTATATATAGTCGAAACTTATACTCCACAATACACATGATATCATATCATGATGAAATATATAGTGAGGATAGATGAAGATGGGGAAGCATTCAAGCTTGGAGGTAGTTCGCAATGGAAAACAAATCCATAACTTCGGGTGTCAATCAATGTCAATCAAATTGAAATATCTGCCCAAACCCGCACAGGAACCATCCGGCACTACAGATTGTCATCAACTTTTACATTACAATAATCCTCTGTTACCACATCTACATTACCAGTTTCATATTTTTCTTGGGGCACCTGCGAATTAGTGGTCAACACTTGCCTGATTCTGCACAGATTCTTCCCGATGGGTCCGATCGCCACTCTTTTGTTTATTTAACACCATAGATACAAGATGATACAAGCATCTCCCCCTACTATTTCAATGGGGTGTTGCTATTCTATGTCTTTGGTACTGCTGTACCGAAAGTGTCAAAAAGCCGAAAAGTTGCCCTGCAGCCTCCATCTGCAATTGCTGCTCCAATTCCTCCTCTGGGCTTCTAGCCACAGCTGGGGGCCCTGATGCGGCTTTGGCGGTTGTGACATGGCCAGAAGAATTTCAAATGCCTTGAAACTTGCAGCATAAACAACTTTCTTAGGATTGTCATAGTATTTAAGGAAAATCTGAAAATAGGACACACCAATATATCTCATGGTTTGCCATCATTTTCCCCACCGAAGTGGCAATTTTGGGGTAATTATCTGGTATCCCCATTTTTATCACAGCTATGCTGTTACCTTTTGTCATTTTCACCAGAGTACAGGGTGTTGACCCACACTCACACATGACATTCTGGTGGTGGACTTCTGAACTTCATTTCGGAAATTTGGAAATTACTCTCAAGAATAATCTAATAATTTCTATAATTCTATCCAATATGTTTTCTTTTCCAGCCATATGTTGCTTTGTCTCCAAACTTTGCCGATTGTCTGAGGAATCTCACTTGGACGTTGCCCATGCGGATGAAGCTGGCGATTCAAATGCCTCATGCTCAAGGCTGTAGAGAATCATTGCAAACACACATAAACATACATAAACCGTCATAAACCACAAAAATGACATGTTTTTTTGTTAAACAATAAATTTTGGTACCCCCCAAACCAGCGATTTCGCAATTAAAACATGTTAACTTCGAATGATCTGGGGTCTCCCATCTCTAGCAAATTGACATACACGACAAGCAACTCAAAGTAGGCCGTAGTGTCAAAGTGTTGGACTTGAGGGGCATGGACATGTACGCATAAACAGAACTGCTGATTCGTAGACACAAAGACTATTCTCTGTGTATATCCAAATAATTCAAGTCATCAAGCATAGAGTATATGCCTAGAAAAACAATACCTTCGGGTACCAAGGCTATCGTTGTGCTACACAGAGCCTCCAAAGGATCTAAGATGGCAAAAGAAATCCATCTGAATAGTCTGCAAAGATTGATTGGAAGATAACTCCAATCAATGATTGATGCCACCAAGGGCAGTTCTCTAGAACGCTGAAACGCCTTGCGGCCTGGTTGCCAGTTCATAGTCTTTGCACCCGCATAGGCTCCCCATCGATCGCTGGGTACTTCGATTGGTGTCCTCAGGGCCAGCAAGGTCTAAATTGATCCAAATCCTATCAAATCCTCACAGGGTCATGTATGACTCATCTCAACCTCAGGACCCCTTCTCCAGCATTTTTGACTTTGAATCTGGGGTTGAATATGTTGAATTGACAATCCTTCACACCCCTGCCATCCCCCAACATGTCTTGTCCTCGGCGGCACAGTTTGTGGTGGCCCCGGTGGCCCCAAAGGCCGCACCGTTGCTGGTGGGGGTCCGGGTGGCCCTCGGCCGATGGTTGCGGGTGGCGCTGGTGGCCGCATAGTGCTTGGGGGCCTTGAGCCGCCTGGGCGACGGTCGATGGACCGCGGAGGGTACCTCAGATGAAGCTGATCCGGTTCATCCAAAATTATGAAGGAAACCATGGGAAAACAAAGTCTGCTTCATGATGCCCACTAGTGCAACATGTCAAGAAATGGTTCGCGAAGCTACATGATGGCCTCAGGCAGGCAGAAATGCTCCAAGGTACTGTGGGATTGCCATCTCTGCATCGCACCAGCAGCTAATGCATGGCTATTTCATTATCGAGAGAATTCTCTGTGCGAGAAGTGGAAGAACTTTGCTGCTCTGATAACATACATCCCCACAAATAAAAAAGGTCTCAAAGTGGTCACATGTCTTGGAGTCTTGAACATGATGATATAACCTTTTTTGAAACCCATCTCGCCTGCAGGAAGTCGTGATAAGCTGCCTAGCAACTGACCGACGAAAGATTTGAGCCGCCAGCATCGCTGGACACTTAATAGGTCCGTCATGATCCTAAGTGTCCCGTGCCTCGTCAGTGTCACCTAATGTTACACAACAATAAGCAATAATTCAATAATTCATCACTTCTAAAACCCCAAGATTAGATGATGGTCAGAAACCGTGACCGACTGTGATGTCAAATGAAACCTTTGATCATGTAGTTTTGTGGTCCTTCATGCCGTGTCTTGCATGTTGCTCCCTTCTGTCATCTTTGGCACCAGCTTAGCACCACATCTTCGACATAGCCGGGCCAATGGCTAGTTCGACATCCGACCACGCAAAAATGAATATCACAAGTGTTTCAACCAAGAGGATAATTGAAAGTTGCAGTCTCCCTGACAGTTGTGCGGTATTCTTGATGTCTACGTCGAAAATGGGGGACATCCATTAAAAGGGACCTAAAGTCAATCCCAAGTGCCAAATGATTCAAACAGATCGTGATAGGCATAGGAATAATATGGAATAATCACACGGGTACACGGTACAAAGTAGAATAAATTACCAGTGGTGAAACTGTGAAACATGAGGCCAGAGTCATCCCTATGAGAAGCTCACCTGGGAGGGTGGATGTCGTCGCCATTGGCCAGCAATGGCCAGCATCACAATATGTGGCCCTTTACAGCCGCCAGCCACAGCGTGTTTCTCTGTGGTGGCCTCGTCTACATGGGACATCAGCGTCGCATCAGGCTCAGCACATCACCAATTCCTAAGAAATAAGGGCAGCAAAATGCCATTGGACAATTGTTTGTGCCAGCTTCCACCGACAACCCATTCGGGTGAAACACACGTCGCAAGAGCCTGCAAGGCCATTGGACAATTTTGTCCGGCAAACAACAACTTTACATTTTCGATGGTTAGATTTTGATGGTCGAAGTCAGATTTCCATTTTGATAGGTCAAGAGGTGGTTTCTCCAAAGTGTCTTTGATCCTCCAAGTACCAACGATGACCGGAGCAGCCGTTGCTCCAACTCATTAGGCTTCTTCTGCCTCATTGGTTCTTCCAGTGGCAGATGCCCTGCACACGGGCTGTGAACCATGGAAATCTGTCACAAATGCTCTTACTAAAGTTGGGATTCAAAACTACCCTAAGCCATTCGTAGAATCCCTGAACCAAGCATTAACGGGACTCCAAGGATTGGTGATAGTTGCAATATTGTACCCCTATATTTTCCGCCTTTGAAGAATCGCACAATCCCTGATAACCAGATGTTATGGGCTTTGGATGGCTTTGGCAGCTGTGCATCTGGCATGAGTTTTCAAATTCCAAGCATATCACCCAACGGACCTTTCTATGATTGAAGCACCATCCATTTCGCGGTACAACAGGATACAACATGTTGATCATTTCTTTCATCATTGGATATCCCATTCATACAGAATATATATATATATTCAATTATATTCATGTTTTAGGATGTTTTAGGATATCTTTTGTGGAGAGGTGCTTAATGCCCTATCTCGTGCCACCACCAGCGCCCTATCTGTAGTAACACCGCTGTCCTCGGTGCCACATCTTCGCCCTGGCGACCAGGCCATTGGTTGGTGTTGGAAATTTGAGCCATATCATCCCATTGTATGGCATTGTATGGCATTGTACAATATGGATTGATATGGTGGTTGATATGGTGGTTGATATGACTTGATATGATTAGTATGGATGGCCATACAAGTAGCCATATAAGTAGCCATATCAAGCACCGTGTCAAAGTCAACTGTGTTGCATGCTCTTGCCATCTTGCACAACGCTAGCTGTACGGTGAAGATGCTTCGTAGCCCGACAGGCACTTGCAATGGCCCTGTTTTCCACAACTGACCAAGGGCCTTCCCGAATTGGAGATCCTTGGCGATTGAGTGGCAAGGCTATCATCAAGACCCAAAGATACTCTGGTTACAAGATGTTACAAGATCTTACACGTATGTTTTGCTTTCGGTCAACCAACATTTTTGTACATTTTTGTTGGGTGTCAGTGATAGATACACAAACACAAACAATCAATGAAAAAGGGGAAATCCTTTTCTTTGAGAAGCGGGGGTGCAATCCACTTCTATCAGAATGTGATCCATGCCCCTCTGTCCTTGTATCTGATCTGCTAAACTCTAGCATTACTAGGCCCATCTCGATTAAACCTATTGGTTCTGAAATGGTAAACCCACAGATGTTGATCATGCGAACGATCCACCTTTTCGGGAATCTCGTTTCATGACATTTTCACGTCAGCTTGGCGGAATTTTTATCCTGAACCCCGAAATCAGAATTTCAGGCAACATGCAAGACTTGTTTCATCTTGTTTCTAGATCGAATCGCTTCACCTTCCACTTTGAATCGTTCAAAACTGCTCGGGGACCACACAGGACCAGTGACCCCATCTGGAATGGAAACCAAAGCGACACAGCTTGCCCCAACTTGTCCATTTGACCGACATTCTTGAGCAATAGGCGTTGAGCCATAGGCGTATCCGTATTGCAGGCATCATGACCCATAACCATCTCCCAAACGACCCACATGATGTGTCCCCGGCTTCATCAATAGCTCCTTCAATGGCAAAGCGATTCCTGCCATCAGTCAGGGGTAGTCGTGCAGCGCCATTTCCCCGTTGGGTCAAAATTCCAGGATTCCCCATACGCCAAGTTCTTGAAGCACTTTAAACTTGTAGCTTTTCAAAGTGCAGGTCTTTTTTGGTTGGATAACCTATGAAGACTCCCCTTCTAGGCATCTACCACATTGCAACGCCTTGGCACAACACGGCGCTTGTTGTAGGAAAGTCTCTTGCTGGTTCATACTTTCAACCCATCCGCCAAATTGTGGATTATCATCACTGAACACTAACAAATATCTGAAACCAAGAACCACTTCATCAGTCCTTCAATCCCACTTTTCGTCCATCTTGGGTGGTGAAAATACATATATGCACAACATGGTGATTGATGTTTCTATACTTTCTATAACCAATAATTGCAATGGTAATTTCAATAGTAATTTCAAATAATTTCCATAACATCACATAAAATTCACCATATGTTCACAACATGGGAGCGCTGAACATATGGTTCGATTGTTCGCTCCCTCAACGATCACCTCCAAGCTCCCTTGTACAACAACCAGGTGGACATAGATGGAAAGCCTGGACCGTGCCACTGCCACGGTCCAATTGGGAGGGAAAGATGACTTTGGTACCCAGAAAATGAAGGGACAACCACGGAAACCAGGGAACCCCCTCAAAATTCCATGGGTTCATATTGGTTCATCTTTATTTCATTTTACTTTCCATTCTGATGGTCAAGAATAGTGACATCATGTGGCATCATCTTGTTGACCCACAGCAGTCCGTGCTGTGGCAACCTCACCTTGAAAGGCCGCACAGTGCTGTACTGAACACTGATCATTGTCCTAGGCACAAATCAACATGAAATCAACATGAATTCAACATGAAACCAATATGAAACCAATATGAAATCAACATGAAAGATCATGACATGTAATCAACATGCAAAACATCAAGTGGCAAAAGGTGGCATCCCTTCGAACCCACCATTGAATCAACTTGTCACAAGTCCCAGATTCAAAAATCTCCCATCGGCATCTGAGCCCCTCACAAGCCAGTTTGTCTCCGCCTTCTTCTCCACCAAATATCGCACAACATCATGTCTGCCAGCATCTACCTGGGATCCGCGACATTATCTGGGACCACTGGGAAGATGGTGCAAAGATGTGGAGAAGTTCAACTGCCGACATCTTGGATCCTTCAAAATGGTCGATTTTTTTTCGAGGACACAATTGGGGATGTCTGGGGTTGATATGTAACTATAATATACTATAATATAATATTGTATAATCCTGCAACTGGGACCCTGCGCTGCTCGAAAGAGTGGCGTCTGGCCAAACTTGTCAATCACATTGATGGGAGCTCCCCTTGGAACACAGCCGCTCAATGGGTGAGTTGAAGAAAAAAATGCTGCAATACTGTTGTTGCACTTGCGTATTTCTATAGGATTCTTTCGGTACAGTAGCAAGTCAAAGCAACTCTGAAGCTATATCACATTGAGTGCATGGCTGCGCGCGCTAAGTCGAATCTTGGAGAGAACTCTTCATGTATTCTGAGACTGAAGGGAAGCTGAGCATCGCAACATATACAATTGATCGATGTTGATCATATGAATCCTTGCGGATATTTGCAGCGGGATAGAGATTGACATAGATTGGCATACTAAATTGTGAATGATTCTGAGACATTCATCACTTGGGGGCGGAGACTATGTCCATCATGGGTCATGCCATCCGACGACCCTCCCCTCTGGTCAAGCACGGGTTCCCCCAAAAAACCTCCACCATTTTAGATGTCTTCGGTATGGAACACGCACTGTGTATGGTGCCGTGGTGCCATGGTGCCATTTGGAATCCAGGTGCCAAGCCCCAGGCTTTTCAACGAAGTATTCCACAAGGTTCAGATGTCCATAGTAGGCTGCCTGGACCATGGGACCATGGGACCATGAACATCCATAACACCAATCAGATTGTTTGTAAAACATAATAAAACCCATCCACCAAGATCTTCACAAAACAATATCTTGGGACGGCAAGCGTTTTATGAGAAATCTACAACTACTTGAGCAGCAACGCGAAGGGCCTCGTGCAAAGGTGTTCTGTCTTGGTAGTCCTGAAGCACAAACACAATGAGACCGAGTCACATGGACATTGCTGACAGGTGAAGCATCCTTGAAGTCGATGGCAGCTCCTTTCTCCACCAAAGCCTTCACAATCACCTGGCAACGCTGCTCACAACACTTTTCTGAAAGGTTTACCATCATGGCTACCATCTAGTTTCATCATGTTTCATTAAATCATGTTTGTCAAGTTGGTTATATTCCAATTATATATACCTCATTATATCCAAATATAGACTCTCTGATAATTGAACAATTCTTAAACAGTAAATCATCAAACTACATGGGCTATCTACGATTGTCCATTCGATTCTTCATAGTTATGTTCAATTACCTATATATATATATATATATGTATATCTATATGTATATATATATGTATATATATATGTATATAAACAGAAAGTGCCCTGGAAACATCTGCCGCCATTTGCTGATCGCCTCATGATTTCGCCACGTGGCTTCCCACAAGGCTGACCTGGGCACAAATGGCACAAAAACCGCCACACTGCGATTTTTCTGTGTCCTCTGGGTCCCAACCGATAGAAGGGTCGTTCGTTGTAGTCCAAATCAATGTGCATCTTGACCGCCTGCCATGAGCATCCGGCGAAGCTACCGAAAGCTTCGCCAAGTTGTGTCCCATCCACATTGTACGAGTAATTAGCCAGTAGAATATACATCATATACAGTATACTGTACATATCATAGCTATTTTTGCCTTACATCACCATTTCTTTTGACAAAGAACATGTTTAATCATTTTAATCCCACATGGGTTTGTCCAGAACTTTGGCCTACCATGGCCCAGCCCAACATTACCATTTCAATGTACTTCAATGGGGAGAATGGTTAAAGCATGAGATGATAAGGGCTCAATCCCATATACACTCTGGTAATCAAACATAGCAAAGGAAAATCCATTATTCATGGATGATTTTCCCTATAAACCTCCATTTATAGGGTTCTTCTATAGCTTTACGCAGCATTTGTCAACCTTAATGGCCAGCCCCATCCAGTTCCCCGGTTTCACAGTCCACCTCTGACAGAAGTTGCTTCATGCCGGCATCGCCCTCCCATCGACCCTTGCGGGCAAAGGTGATCATGGTCCTTGAGAAGCTGTGAGACAGCCATCAAGCAAGCCATCAACCCAGAAATAGAGATTTCATCAACAGAAATTTGGGATGTAATAAGATATATATTGTATACACATACAGAATCATATATATATATATAAAAACACATGTATATGTATTCGAGTATGTGTATATATATATATATATTTACATATATTTACGTAGAATTAATCAGACTTATATAATATTATATATACAGTACATATATATATATATATATGTTTATAATTGTTTATACATATTCTATCTTTGTGGGATGTAATTACAATGTACTTGATCTGATCATCCCAGAGAGTATCCCAAAAAATGTCCACTGAAACCGGGACTGTCCTGCTGACTTCTTTGGTGCCACCGGCAGCCATGGGACTGATTGTTGGAAAAAACACCTCAACGGATCAAGAAAGGGACGATGGAAGCACATCTTTTCAGCTGACGATGGAAGGGGATCATCCATGAAAATCCCACTGCATAGCTGGACTTCAGTCAGATCCTGTGACTGGTGCATGACTCATTGCTGCGTTTTATGTGCTGAATGGCCGCGGAAAAGGCAGGTTTCAGGACCTTGGACCCATGGCACTGGTGTGTGGAAAATGGTGGAAACCAAAGGATTTCTGGAACGAAGATGGACAAGACCGCCACATCCATGCACCTCTCTTATTTTTTGCCGTTCTGTATCTCTTGACCACCTTCAAATAGCCCAAACTCTCTCACTTTTTTCAGTGTGCGCACTCTCACATCTAGCTTGTCCGCGGAAGATCAGTATTGCTGTGTGGAGCAATGCTTCAGCAAAGGCTGTAGGCATTCAAGCTCTTTCCTGAACTCTCCGACACCATGGTGACAGCAAGTGGGAAGGAAGGTGACTGGCGGCAATCAATTGGATACAACCTCTAGTGTAATTCGCTTGTTCTTGAAATCAGTTCTTCATCCAACACAGAGCTGGGCGTAAATCAGTCTTGTCAACATCAAAAGTTGCCACAAATCAGAGAAACATCGTCAGGATCAGAAACCTTGGCAATCAAAATCAAAGTGTATATTAGTTGGTGGAACTCTTCTATCCAAGAGGATACTTAATTCCGCCTATATAGGTGTGAAAGTGATTAGCGGATTGCTTGTTCTGCACCTTTTTGGAGTGCTTTGCTATACATGTTTGCCGACACTTCAGCCATGGACCATGTTGTTGTAGAGTCTTGCGGCAAAATAAGTGGCACAAAGTTCTTTTGTAGCAATCCCTTACGATTCGCAGATTTTCTGGAATGCGGCATAATATGATATAACATGATCCAATATGATACAATACAATATGATATGCTATGATACAATATGTGATATATATATAATAATATGTGATACAATATGATATGAATAGTATGTGATGCAATATGATATAATATGACTATATAGCTCAAATTAACTTGGTCGAAGCAGTTGAAATGCAAGGAAAAAACATGTGGGTTTGTCTGAAAGTAGGGTTTATGTATTTATGTATTTATGTATCCCAAAAATCATCAAAAATCCATCAGAATCCTCTGCTGATATCACTTATCGTCATTTTCCCGATTCAAGTTTTGGGGGTGTCCTGTCCCCAAATTCCCAAATCGTCATCAAATTCCTCCGACAACATCTGCAGCTGGAGCTCTCTAGCAACTCCAAGCGGGATAAGATCACACCCGGAGGCACCATCTCGGCACTGCTGAGGTTACACCAAACCTCAGCTGGTTTCAATGGTTGGGTTTTGTTGGGAACATGGACACCATGGATTTTTTGTTGCGCCTTCAAACATAGGGGGTTCTTGTAATTCCCATGATCCACTTCTGGGATGAGCTGACGGTTGAGCCACCCACCATTTTGGGATTATCAGAGTAGGGATGGAAATACCGTGAAATAACCATGTTTGAACCACCAGCCAAATGCTGAGCATGCACGTAAGATGCTGAACCGCTGTAAAAAAATGTATGCAACAGATTGCCACAGTATTTATTTCCTTGCGTTTCATAATCTTTCGTATTGGCGACCATGTCTAGGAATGGAGTTTGAGTAGCTACGTCAGCTACTTTGTACATGTAATTTCACCCCCAACGCAAAGACAGTTGTCCACGGATAAATCATCCCCAATGGTAGCGGAAAACAAGTGCAAGATCGCATGCATCGCTTCCATCACTCCGCGAAGACTTCTCAAAATTGTACATCCTACACCGTACAAATTGCTTTAGTGTACTGTAGATTCGGATTAGAATTGGGATGAATTGGGAAGCCAAGGGCCATTAGCGCTTTGGAATTTGTGAAACGTCACTGCAACCTCTGGGCATCCTGCGCAAAGCAGCATTTGAGCCTCCTGTTTTCCAGTCCTGGGTCCACAGGATCTCAAGGATTGGTCCCCAGGAAGTACTGGAAACCAATGAAGAATAGTACGGAATACGGAAAACCATTCTGCATCTAAGGAACCTATAGGAACCTTGCGAATACTTACAGTAGTTTCAAATCAAGTTTCAAATCAAAGCTACAGTAGTCAGCTAGTCCCTGGAATCTCTGGGGCCTTTTTTGAAACAAAGTTAAACAAAATTAAGGGATCACTGAAACCTTACGAAACCATCATCTGCCTATGGCCATTGTGTAGCCAGCAAAGCAAATGACCTTGTAATTACAACAAAAAATCATTCAGTTTTGAGAAAAACTATGTCCAGATTGCAAACATGAATTCGATCATCAGGAACTTGTTCATTTATATAAATTAATCAGCAGCAAAACTATGACTGCAAATGTGGAATCCTGCATTTTATACATGGGCATCTTGCATCAAGATCTCCAAGCCCAGAGATTTGGGCAACGTCCACAGCCCTTGCCAGCACATGGCAAGGCACAGAAACGCTCGGCAGGCGACCAACGCGTTCTCACAGAAGAAGACTGACCCCTGGCACCGATCTTCCCTGTTGTAAGTTGGAGAAACTATATCGAAACACAATCTCCACATCAAATTTCTGGAAAATGCGTGCTATGCTTCTGCTTCGTATGGTAATCAATGGTAATCTTTCCATTACAAACAACGAAAGAAGCAGACTTACAGTACCTTAAGCTTGCAATGCACCGTGTTCTTCGGCCCCGGCGCACTGTTTGACCACCTTTTTTGAGGCTGAGTTGCCTAAACAAGCCTAAACCATCAGATGATCAGGTCAGTTTGAACATGCGATTGATTTTACAACATTATGCCGTATGATTTTGACAAATTCCGTATGTTCCATTGAACTGTCCGAAGGCCACTCAGTGACTCAATACCCCAAAACTACCTTCCAACCTCTCCAACATTCTGCCCCAATAAAAGGAACAAAAAAACATCAAACACAACGGGTATCCCTGGACCTCAAACTCGGGTTTCAACTCTGGAGCCACGTAAACCTCCGCACATTTGAACTCATGGGCAGCCTCAATTGCGGGGTCCAGGGCAAAGACATGGGATTCCTGCCATGTGAGCAGGAGCCCATGGCACATTCCCCAAGTTGTCAGTGATGATAAACAGGCAACATGAATATATGTAATTATGATAAACAGGTAACATATCACAAGAATTCACAATATAACTTGGGAGTAGAGGTGCAATCGTGTCTTTTGGCAAACGCAGCTGTGTCATGCTCCTCTTCACTTGTCCGATCGAATACCAAAGATTGCAGCGAACTCTTCTCAACATGAAGAAACCGCAGGGTTTGTGCGGGGATTGGAATGTCGACCGACATCCTAACCTTGATAGTGGTACTGTACCTGTGCCGCGGCCTAGTTTTACACTTAGACCAGTGCAGGCCCGCTGTGTCTAATTATTCTTAATCATATATATATATATATTTATGTAGTGAGTAAAGTAGTATTGTAATATATTGTAATATTGCATGGCTTAGATTACAATATTATCACATCGTTTCATATTATATATGTGTACATGTACTAGTACGTATTCCCCAGTTGATGGAGCATCAGGGCCCTGTAGAAGCTTGGCCGCACGATTCAAAGAACACGCATCAAACTCAGTTGCGAACGCTGGACAAAAGAGCCACCGCAGAATGGTCAACCTCCAGCGGATCTGGGGATTTCCTCTTGGAGTTGTGAATGTGTGTACGATATCTGGCGATGTTCGTGTTTACATGGCATAGCTCTATATATATATATAATCGTTATACAGTTATACAGTTATACACCATAGGATATGTGTATCAATGTGTATCGGTATATAATGGTCCAGGTGTACATTAATAATATTATATACGTAATTATACGTGTATATATAAACACTCACTTCCCTTTCCCTTTTGACACGTTGCAGACCCAGTTTGTCAAAAAATTAAAAGAACGGAGAGATACTAATGGAATCTTTTGATTGGTTCCTCAGCCAACCAAGGGTGAGTGTCATCCTTCCGGCCACACCCAGGAAGAAAGACACCCCCCAGTGCCCCTTGGGGACCCCGCCACCCCGGGGGACACCCCAAGCCCGCGACACAAAAAGATCCATTAGTCAAGAAAAACAAAATAAAATGCGCATTCTCCCCCCCTTTTCTGCGATTCTTGGACCTTTTTGGTCCTATTCCTCAGGGGGGGGGGGTTTGGGCTTTGAAGCCAGAGCTACAGTCAAATAGAAAGTGAATTCGTGTTTATCCCCGAAAACGTAAGAACAAACACTCACTTCCCTTTCCCTTTTGACACGTTGCAGACCCAGTTTGTCAAAAAATTAAAAGAACGGAGAGATACTAATGGAATCTTTTGATTGGTTCCTCAGCCAACCAAGGGTGAGTGTCATCCTTCCGGCCACACCCAGGAAGAAAGACCCCCCCCAGTGCCCCTTGGGGACCCCGCCACCCCGGGGGACACCCCAAGCCCGCGACACAAAAAGATCCATTAGTCAAGAAAAACAAAATAAAATGCGCATTCTCCCCCCCTTTTCTGCGATTCTTGGACCTTTTTGGTCCTATTCCACGTCCCCCAGCCCTTCGACTGGAAGGAGATTGCTCAAGCGCTGGCAAAGTAACTTGCCACTTAGAATAAATTGTGTGAAACGGGAGCAACAAATTTCGAGGGATCTGAATTTCTGAAAGTAGGGCTAAACCAGAGTTTAAATAAATTTTTGCTGTTTTTACCGCAGTCCAGCGGCCAGCTAGCAAAACTCGGTCTAGCGACCCGCACTTAGTAAAGAGAAAAGTGGCACCGCCCCGTCTCAACGAGTACGGTCTAAAATGCCAGGGGGAAAGTTTAAGTTGGTCTAAACACTCACTGAACATTGATCTCCACTGATGCGGTTTTGCAGTGAGGTAGTCATGAGGAGAAGCAGATTGTTTCCAAAGTCGCAGCCAACGGAGTACCGACCGCTCAGTGATCGTAATACTCTCTGCTGCTCCTTGCCTCTTTCCAGACTTTGTCAACCCCAG